GCTGATGTTTATTTTTTTGCCATGCATATTTATTCCCCCTTACAAAATAGGGAAAATACTGAAAAAATAAATTTAGTAAAACTATTTTTAAGAAAGAGGAATGGTTTAAGGCAGTGGGGTGGTTCAGGTGCTTCAAGGCTGTCCGGTAATGACAATTGCTGTTATGCTAAAAAAAAAATGTATTTTCAATGCTCAATCAGTGTACAATATGTTTTCTTGCCTCCATGCCAGACAGTGTCACACAACCTTTTTTTTTTTTTTTTTTACGTGATTCACAGGTTGAAATTCTACAGCAACTGTCGGTCTTTATTCTTTTGCTTGATGTGAAAACACGGCTAATTTCTGCTTGGGGGAACAGGCTAATTTTCATCACTCACTGTTGGACCGCAGCACAGAAAGGCAAGTTTGAACTACCAAAGAGGCCCGTACACAGTGATTTATTCATGTGCTTGTCCCAAAAGTGCTATGACAACAGTCCAGAAGACATTTTCAATATATCTGAGTCCATGTGAAACAAATATAACATGAAAAGTGTTACATTTGATAATGACAGCGTTATTCAAACACACATAGAAGTGTGATATTGTCTTTACCTATTTCTTTATTGACCTTTAAAAAGCAATTTCTACTGTATGTCATGTAGATTAAAGAAGGTTCTCATGTATTGTTCTGACGCTACCGGACATTCTTAACATTTTATTGAGTCAAGTAACTTGTCACTTGAAGTTTGGCAGCATATGTGCTTAAGATCAAATTTAGCATAAATAACTTATTGTTGTAATAACTACTGTATATTGAATTTTTCACAGTACACATGAGAATGCACATAATTAATACACTTGCAATATAAGACAACATATTTGCCACAGTATTACATCTGCTGTGTAGACAGCTGAGACCCACAGCCATTCCCCAACACCTTCACCTGTAACATCCTTTTCACAACCCAAACAAGCAGCTGCCCACTTTATAGTTAGGAATCCATAATGCACTGGGAGCTCCTGTGCATGCCTGGTGTTGGGATTTAATTGGATATTAGTATCCAGCAGTGTCTGAATTAATCAAATCATTTCCATCCATTAATTTAGCGGAGGAACATACAATTAAAGCCTTATTAGTGTGCTCTCAGGAGTATGCCTTTTCATCCCCCTGCAGAACATTGAGAGTTGGCCAGCGTCCAGTGCAAAGCATTCTCCCTGCGTGAATCTGAGGCTTCCTCATGATGGGTACTCAGCTGATCTACAGCAACTGGCTGTAAGCTTAAAGCAAAGAAAATGTCAGCCTATAGTAAGGTGCTACTTCTCCCATGGCTATAGGAAAGGGTAACATTTTAATGAGAGCTAAATGCAATGCAAAAATACATTGTTGGCTTCTATTTTGAGTCTTCACCATTTGTCAGATTATGAAATTATTAGGTCAGAGGCCTGACAAGTTTTAAACTAATTCTATTTGGTGAAACATTACTGTGAAAACCACCACAAAAATGCCCTAAATAGGGTGAAAAGAGATTTGGAGATTTAGGAAGCGAGCAAACATAATCCAGCACACCAAAGTAGGTCATTTTATGATATTTTCTATATTCCTATATTTTATACAAAGCATATTTCTTTCATAATGGACTTCAAACTATAGTGCACAGCATTTCAAATATTCTTCAAAAGAATAATATGATAATTTAACTTTTTTGCACCAAAAGAAATTAAGAAAGATAATCTCCGCATCTAAACATCCAACCACAGTTGGTGCAGTAACAGTGCATTAAGTTTAAATCAAACATCACATCATAAATACAGCAATTTTGGTTAGGGTGAATCATTTTTTTCCCTCCCTCCTCTCTTGTGAATCCGAGTTAAAACGTTTTTGCACAAAGTAATCCAGACTGCTCAGATGAGCAGCCATTTTTAATTAAAACCATTTACAGAGGAAACCAAAGTGAGAAAAAAAGAGCCAAGGGATTTTACACTCTGTCATCCAAGGCTTCAGCGGATCAAAGAGTTTTAGTTGTGCTTTTTAATGGTTACGTAACATTTTTGCCTATGAAATATTGGGCCCGGGTGCCATGTAGTTAGTCCAGAGCTTGACAGTACCACAGATTTCCTGCAGTGCACTTTTACATTTCAGGCAGGATACAGTAAGCCTATGTTTATGTCTAAGTATAGCTGTTAATCAATACAATACTACTGGTGTAAGAGGACACTGAAAGTAGGCAACAACCTCTGAAATGTTAGATTATTGCATTCTTAAGACATTGTGTGTGTGTGTGTGTGTGTGTGTGTGTGTGTGTGTGTGTGTGTGTGTGTGTATATGCATTAATTGTATATGTGTATGTATATGTGTGTTTTGTGTCTGTCTGCTTCCCTGCCTGCTGGCTGGCTGGCTGCCATGTGGCCCACCTCTTTCTGTCACCCTGTCTGACATTAGGGCTAAGCTGGATCTCATTAGGACCAAGGTGGCAGTGATCCCGTCAACATCGCTTTGGCTCTTGCCATATGGGTCGCCTCCAAGGTAACGGGGCTGTATCAGTCTCCTCAGAGCTGCAAGCCTTGTTATAGCACACACACACACACACACACACATACACACACAGAGTATCTACTCTCTAGAAAAGGGTTTACTATACATGTAAAGCTGAATAAAAATCAAACGGAGAAGACAGACAACAAAATTCTGATAAGATAGTCAGTTCAGATCTATGGGTGAGTTGCACTGTGAAAAAATACACACACATACACACCGTGCTTACTATACATGTTTGTCACAGGAAATGTAAAAATACCACAAGGACCATTAATCTAATGTAGTTTTTATGAGCAGTAAATTACAAAGGAAAACTATTTAGGAATTAATCTGGTCATTAGCCTCTGCAGATTGGTTATGCTTTAGGTGCTGTTTTTTTTGTTTGTCTGTCAGCTGGATTACAGAAAAGCTATTGGCTCGTAGGCTTTGGCGGATTCAAGGTATTACGGTATACCAGAAATCCCGAAGCCATGATTTTCAATCCCGGCAAAAATACTCCTTTCTATTAGACCGATATGGAGATGCTGTACTGAGGTTAGCGTTGGGCGACATCGTAAGAGTTTTCCAACTATCAGCCCAACAACTGCCTATTGTCCATATACTCACACATGTGTGTACGCACAATATATTGAAAAGAGATGACGATGATGATGTATGATTTGTTCAAGGATTTCCGTTAACATTGCGAGATAGGACAAACACCAGTATCTATGGCAAAATGACATCGCGCAAACCCAGATTTTCTGACCAGCGCAAAGTACATAATAAATGCACAGCTGGTATGATGAGGCTTCAGCTAGGCCCAGACATACTCTGATATTAATTGTTTAAGAATATATTCAAATGTTTTTAGTGGATGCGCTTGCAGATTAACATATCATAGCAGACTGGAGTATTAGTCTTGGCGGAGTGCCCTTCTTGTTAGATATATAGACCAGTGTGACCAAATCAGATCACACATCTTCCAAAATATTAGAAAAAAACAGTAAAAGGTTTGTTTTATATCAAGCTGAATGATAAAGTTATGATAGATGCATAAATTCTTAACATAAAAAGCAACAAGCATCATAATCAGCAATGTTTTGCATTGCATTTGTAAGCAACAGCAAATCAGTTTGCGGTTGATGACCTATGTGAATGTACATTGATGAAACCCTGATAAACAGACTTTTTGCTAGTCTCGGCCTCCAAAGTTGTCCCAGCAATCTGAATGAAAGCAGCTGAGCAGAAGAAAATGAAAATGGACGACTTTAAATGGTGGAGCAATCAGTGGGATCTGCGAAGTTGGTTTCCGGAAATTCAATCAGGAAAACTTTTAATCTAATAAATCTCCATTTTGAGATTCTGTTCAACATCACTGTCCAAAGTTAGTCTTGAATTGTCATGGTCAACACACAGTCAAACACAGCGGAGCAACGTACATCAACATCCCAGCTGCTTTTCTTACAGTAAGTTTCTGACTTTTATCAAAGCTGCGCAAGTAAACAGGAAGTCATTTATGACTTTGTTTATTGCTTTTTTGCACCAGCTCATAAAAACTGTGAATTTATAACATCCCATAGCAATGCATTTTATTTATTACTGTAAATAAACACCAGTACCTCTCACTGCTGAATACACATACTTCCTGTATTTTTAACAATGTTACCATGTGTTTCATGTTCCAGCAAATGGCTTTTGTATTTACTGTCATTAATAGCGTTCATGATAATTTACTTCCTTCAGCTTCATATGCAACTAGGACACCAGAATACACTGGAAGCAAAACAACTGTGTCAAAGTTGTACTTTGCCATATTGGCAGCTATTATAGATTTTTTCCCTTTGGCCTGTTTGTTTTGTTTCAGCCCCCACCATCACAAAATTAACTGTTTATTTGATCAGTTTGGCAACAAAAGCATGTGATCAATCATTCATAATTTATGACACTGCCAATGGCCTAGGGCCCATAAAAACAGATTTTTGCATTGCTCTTAGCTGGACCTCCCAATAACAGACCAATAAAATTTGTTGTTGTACGTACAAGTAAGGGCCTGATAAGAGGTAAACTTCGCCTCTGTGTTATAGTAGAACACAGGGCAGTGCTAGCAGAGATGATGTTGTGATCACATGCTACTATAACAATGACCTGGACCCCGTCCTTCAATTCCTATTCCCCCAGCCAGCATCCCGCTGTCTTTCCCAAGCCCGGCTGTTGTTATTATTGCACTATTCAAAGCAAACGCCCTAAATCCCTTGTGCAATATGAGCCTGACTGTAACAAACTGGCTATCCATCTATCTGATCCTCTAGAGAGATATGCTATTATACAGGTAGATTGATTTAAAAAAAAACATGAATTAGAAAAAAATTTAAACTGATTCTCTCTGTAAAGCTAAACTACATTTATCACAATTGAGAAAACATCGCCATTTGTAAGCCAGACATCTGACGGCGATACACTGAAAGGCACTCAGATAACAGAGAAGTCTTCATATCCCTTACCTGTTCATGCTGTCCGTGATGCAGTTTTGACCTGGGTATCCCTCACCTCTGGCTGACAGTGACCCCTGCACCATGCCTGGCCGAGATTTCCACGACTCCATTAACGCCGTTACAGGTGAAATTAGATTCAACAAAGGGTTGGACTGGTCCCTCACATCATGCCGTGTGAAAGACATTGTTCCTTGTGCTCCAATCTGGTAATGGAATGAATGTCCACCGGAATTAACTCCAACAATGGCCGATGTGGGCATGCTGTTATTCTCTTGGTAATAGCTGCCATCAGTGGACTCCTGCTTAACCCCTTTAGACAGGACATTGTTGGAGAACACATCGGGCTCATAGTTCCCATTCATAGAGGAGACAGGGGGTCCTAAGATACCAGAAAGACTGTATTCATCAATGTTATTCCTCAGGGACAAATATGTGGTCTCGGATGCAGGAAAGAGACCAAGAGATGGTGACTGTTCACCATAGGGCTGTGGGTTCATACATCCTTCATTTTTGTTTGGCTCACTCTTAATCTGTGTGATAAAAGGTGTGCTACTCGCGTTACATTTGGAGCTGCCTAAACACATGCTCCTGAAGTCAGTTCCAGGCTCGTTCTTAATGTACTTAACCATGCCCATCTGGTCTAAGCCGACGTTGAACACCTCTCCGTCTACCATCTCTACTTTAGGGAATTCAAAGTTCTTGAAGTCTGTATCTCTGTTCAGACCTGCTGCTTCTGGGCTGTTGGTGTCATTCTGCACCAAACCCAGTCCACCAGCAGGACTGGACACAGGAAACCCACCTGAGGAGGGGTTCTGTGGGCTGCTGACCGCCATGTTGCCCCCTGTGGCCGGACTGGAAATGGAGGGCCTTACTGTGTTGCAGTTGTTAGCAGCGCTGGTGCAGCTGACACCTGTGGGGCTCGAGACCGATGACCTAATGTTACAGGTAGTGCTGCAGGACGGAGGCGATCTCACACTACTCATACTCTGGGGGCTGGACATAGGAGATCTCATGACATTGAGCGGGCTGGTGAGTGGTGGTGAGCCCACTGTGCTGGACTCTACAGGGCTACATGTGGCTGAATTCCTGCGCTTGATGTTGGCCAGAGTTGCCGCACAAGACGTCTGGCTTACAGGACTGTTGACGGACGAGCACACTGGTCCAAAGCACGTTTGAGGACTGGTGGTTGACGACACCATATTGTTGCTGCCCCCTGGGCTAGAGATGGAGCTGGATGTCTGGGGACTGCAGGACAGAGATGAGGCTAGCATTGAAGCTGAGCTAACTGGAGTCCCAGCGGTGCATTCTCTGGGAGTGGTGCTGGGCTGCTGGAAACCAAATGGCTTTAACTTGGGGCTCTTTGTAGAACCACACTGGGTGTCCTCTAGAGGCCGTCCACACACAGGAAACATCTTCCCAGGGCTGGTACTGCCCCCATGCTGGCTAAAGGCAAAGTCTGCCTCCCTGGCAGCATTCATATACAGGCCCATAGACTCAGCCACAGTCTTGGAAAGCTCCTTGGAGTCCATTTCCTGCTTATGACCATGGAGAGAGTTGTTGAAGTGTGGGAGAACAAATGGCTGGTTCTGGCTGAGCCGAATCATTGGCTGCTCCTGCTTCTTTGTATTGTTGTCTTTGCAGTCGGTGGTCGGGCTTCCAGCAGGGCAGCTAACATTGACTATGTCCATCAGGATATCACTGTTGGTCAGACTTGAATCCTCTGTACTGCAGCAGTGCTCCATGGTGCTAAGGACCTGTGACCATTTGTTCTCTGTATCACTTCCTTCAAAGAAATTTTGGTATCTTTTGGTCTCCATTGCTGGCTCATTGATTCACCTGGTAAACAAGGAAAAGAGAAAAGTTAGGAATTGGTGTATTAAGGGTATTTACTTTTACACAGAGATTACAGGTCTCATGTGAGAATGAATAATGTATTTAGGAATATGCTAATGGCTCTTAAATCTAAAGTGTAAATATAGTCTTTAAGTTTTGGATAGATGCCAAAGCAGTAAGTTTTGCTTCAGTGGATAAAAACCCAATGAAGCAAAAAAAGAGGTAGGGCACAGGAAAAGAGAAAAACATTTATGATGCTGTGTAAACAATGTCAAATCTGAAAAGGTCCAACGCAAGTCTGTACAGTACTTCCTCTCTCACAGAGATAAAGTTCCTTATTACTGCACTACAGGGGATGTACAGTATGATAACATAGAAGAAAATGCATTGTAAGGGTTAATCTATCTACGTGACGTCGTCTGGGCTTTTTTATGTAAATTCCCACCTCTACTGCGCTTCTATTGGACAGCTCAGCCAGCTATCCACCAGATTTATCAGGCTATTCATGGATTGGTCCGACAGCTGTCACTCAATAGTTATTGCTCTTGCAGCCACAACATAGCTGCGACATAACTTGAAATGTTGCTTTTGCGGCTAGAGCAGCACCGTCATGTGCAAAAGCAACAAAAATACTTATAATACTACAAAAATTATACACTTGACATAACAAATTGCAATGAAAAGGCATTGCCTTGATGTTTGACGTTTTAATATTTATTTAGCATGATACGGTGCACTCGTTGAAGGGCTCGCAGCTCTGGAGCAGCCAAGATATCTGAGTTAAAGTTATTCAGGTTGCCTGCAAAATATCCCATGCACATTGCGTGCAGATCATTGAATACAAAAATGAAAAATAAAAGAGAAGTCAGCTTAACTATTCCGCCCTCTTGCTCCTGCCGTGATTGTCCTGCCTCTGGGCATGCAACTCTGCATATCTCTCCATTTTGCGTTTGCGCAGAATAAATAGTAAAAGACGATTTTCGCTATATTGTTGCAGCTGACGTTATATTTTGCTGTGTGAAAGTCTTCCTATTAACGGCATTTTGAGAGGCAAGAAGGACTAAGTGCAGATGGAAGAAAATGTAAATTATTTAAGTCATATTTTTAGAAAGACTTTGACAGCACTAGATATTTCTCAGCACCTCTTGACAGGTGCGTAGAGAAATATCTACTGATTTTTATTTTTATTTTTATTGTTTTACAATTGCTGTGACTATTTTTCTTTGTACATAAAGTACATAAACTTCTTGTCCGACTTTTATTATGGACCAGACACACGGCTAACTGCCACGGTTGAAAGTTAGATTTGCATCGGGGATGTAAGTAGGCTATTCAGTTATCCCACTGAACAGTAAGGAGTTTGCTTTCATTATCATCTCAGACCCAGCGCGAAATTAAAATGTACAGTCAAACACTGAGCTCTGTCCTTCCTTACCTTAATTACGACATTCAGAGTTGTCAGGTGGCCGTGTTGCTGGGCAGCGATAATCCAGAGGACAAAAAAAGACACGCAAAGCAAAGTCAATAAATATCAACAAATGTGTTCTGTCTACTCTCTCCAATACATAGTTTTCAGTTTGACAGCTAGACACACTGGAGAAGTCTACTGCGTATTATCACTAGTAATCCTCCACAGCGAGCGGCTGCTCCTGACAGGACGAACGACAGCGACGGGTCGGACGACAGCGGCGGATGATCTCACATTATGGCTTCAATTTTGCAGATTACCGATTCTGTGCCCTGGATAAAAAGAGTAATAAAAACAAACGAAGGAATCGGTAGGACTTGAAGTCAGAGCGACGTCATTCTGTGCACATGGACCCTCCTACTGCAACGAGTGCAACACAAACTCCGAGGAGGGGGAGTATGAGGGGTGGAGGGGAGGCAGAGATGAGAGGGGAGGGGCTCAGCGCAGGTAGACAGAGCCGCCTGGAAATAGGGCACCGCACTCAACGCAGTGTTGTTGGAAATAAACTCAGGGTAACAGTGTTTTTGATTGAATTAAAATATTTCCTGCAAGTTTGTTACATTTCTTTCTGTTGTTGTTAAGCCATCTGTTCTCTTCCCTTACCGTGCTTTTTTTTTTGCCGTTTTTACTTTGCCATCTTTTCAAGTGCCACCTCTGAAAAGGTTTTCCTTACGGAGCTGATCATCAGGAAATATATCAGGTGCCTTCCCAGCCTCTCTTTACATGGATATTTAAAAAAACTGCAAATACTGAGTGAAGAGTCATTCTACTGTAAGAGTGAAATCAAATCAGGCTGTTTCCCTCTTACACCATAACGGCTGCCTCCACTAGGTGGAGCAATATTTCTATTGCTGATCGAAATTGAATGGTCAAGATGTCACTCCATTCACCCCTCATGTCTATGAGACTATGATCAAATTCTTTATTTCATCCTTGAATCAAACAAAATTGAGACTTAATGTGTTCAAAACAGATTTTAAATGTAGTTTAAGAGGATTGTGTTCCCTTTGGTCAGCCAAACTGTGATAACTGTAGGTGTCTTTGCTCATGAACAATCAACCACCATCAATTTGACATACCATAAAAGCTATACAAAATATATGCTTATAGGGTAGACACTTTTTTGATTAAGGATTTTGAAATTGTAGTGAAAAGACAAACAGTCTGTGAGTTTATAAACTCAGTCAAATATTCAAGCATGCACCAAAAATGAAATCTTGTATAAAAGGCATTAACCACCATAAGAATGATGGATAAAAGAAATGTATACCCACAGTTAATTAGCTCAGTCATAATGTCCTCCGCACTCATGAGAAAGTACAATGTTTCTTTGTTTATCTGTGACACCAACAACAACAAAAATTGTGTTGTGACTTGGATTAAGCTGTTATTTACGTTAACTAGTGATGTGTGGAGGCATTGATGTGTGTGTGTAGACTCCAGCAACGTCCAATAATCAGTTTAATCTCTGGAGTTGTCAGTCGAGTCACATTCTGTAGTGTATCACATGGCTGCATAAAAGTGTGCATATAGGATTTAGGCTTTGAGAGTGGAGCTCTGTACAGTAGTTTGAATGTTTCTCTTCATTGCTTGTCTGGGTTCTCCAAGCCAGCCTGTAGCCATTACCCAAGCTAGGCAGCAGCAGTTAGATTAGTCAAAGCCATCCAAGCAACACTGCCCACCTCCCTGATCTGCCTGTTAATCACCCATGAATGGGGCTGCTTCAGAAAAAGCAGGAGAATTGAGATATAACCAATGTTTCCCACCCCCATTCATGCAGCTCCCATTTATCCATAGCACATAATGGGTGCCAGTCAAACACATCATGAGCAAATCTTATTTAGCTTTGCATCACATATTTTTCCACAGTGACAGTCATAAGAATTTGCAGACTGACAGCCGAACACTGCTCATATGAAACCAGTAATAATTGCATCCTTCACTGGTAAAAATTCAAGGCAGCTCCATTGAATCACTGAGCTTTCAAGCGGCATAATTTTAGTCAAATCAACGATAATCACACTGGCCTGAAAACATTGTATGTACATATGAGCTAAAAATAACCATCTTTCGAGAAGGAGGGGATCCTTTCGGATGAGTGATTGCTATGATTAGGAGCAGGCTTCCACTCCAGTTTAGACACATAGCAGACAACTCCAGTAGCTGAGAGGGCCAAAGGCATAACACAGAGGTGTATGCTGTGCCTCATGGGGACAGGTGAATTGGAGCATGTTAACTCTAAAACAAAACACTCGTCAACTCAGCGGAAGACCTTGTCCCCATCGTGTGTGGTAATTACAGAGGCAGTTTTAATCAGAGGAGAAGTCTGACATAAAGTGGCCGCCTAATAGCCGTTGCCTCTTCTTTCTCACAACTTTGATTTTACTGGTTAAAATGTTTTAGCGTTGACTTTGCATCTAACCACGTACCATATGTGCTCAGTTTTGATATCAGATTGTTAAGTCACCTTTAAAATGTATTGATTGTTGATTGATTGATAGCAAAGTTTACACATCCAGCAGACACAGAGCAGCATTAGCATTCTTGGGCACCTGATGAATGCAAGTCTAATATTCATTCTTCTTTTAGCTTTGTTTTACTCTTCACCTACTCCTGATGTTGGTGGAGAAATATCTTTCTGGATGGATTATGGATGGACGCCAACTCACTGAAAACAGCTGCCTGCCGTGTCTTGAAACCATACTGATGAGACCTGTGAAAGTGAATCAAAACACTAAAGTTGGGGCTTTAAAACCAAAACAATGAGCTGAAAGACGCTGAAACGCTCTGCTTAGTTAGTGGTAATTCTCTGCGGGTTCATCCCTACAAGTGAACTCTTCACATACACATATTCATCATTGATCACTTGTTACCATGCAATATGAATTATAGCAGCTTTAACAGAAATTCTAAGTCACTGATTGTTTCATGAATAGCCCTATTTTATTGTTAGTGCTTTTGCCCATAAACTGTATTGGCCAACTGTCCAGTAACACAGTAGACTGAGAGTAGTGGAGCGAGATCAAGACACACCCTCATCACCAACCCCCCACCACTCTGGCCGTTGCTTTTCGTTGTTGAAAACCCATGTGGCATGTGGTACATTTCATGCCTATATGTGGCAACTTTGAGCCCATCTGTGCAAGCATCGCTGGCTTGTTTTCATTAAATGTGTTGTTTGCAATAGTAATCACATTTCTAGTTAACAAGAATTATTTCATTGGAAATGCAGTCTCATTATGTTTGTCTGAGGTAGACTTTAGTATAGCGTATACCAGTATATGCTGACTGGGACACACTCGTATCTGGGACACAGACTGAATAACCTCACAGTTGGATGAAAAGACTCATATCTGTGAAGGTCAGATATGGAAATATATCCCTTTGCTATGCTTTGCTTTGACACCTGAACTCTGCTGCCATGGTCAGTGTAGGCATATTGTCAAAAAAGAGACAATTGAATTCCCTCACATGTATTATTCATTGAAAGAGATTGTATGCAGAAAGTGCAAAAGGCTTGAATTTTCTAGCCTCTGATTTCCTTGCTTAATTAAATATTCACCCAGGTTACAAATTATATTACACTTTTACCTGTACATCCAAGTTAAGCAATATCCATTATAATAGACATAGTGTAACTGGTATGAAAGCAGTCAAATAAATGCAATGTTTAAGAGTTACACAACCACATTAATGAATTCACTCATTTATAATTACAGACAGATTCATTCAAGTGTGATTGTATCAGTGTGAAAATTTACACTTTAGATAGATAGATAGATAGATAGATAGATAGATAGATAGATAGATAGATAGATAGATAGAGGATAGGCATTCAGCCTGCCTCCCTGTGGAAAGTGTCTCCAACTATGTGTACACCACCTGGGGTTTGTTCATCCTACTTGAGCAATGACGACTGAAAACATGTTGATGATTAAATAACATGTTTACCCTGTGTGTAGTCAGAAATACATATTCAGTGGGAACAGTGCATATAGGCTACAGCCTGGCTTCAGATCAGATTATTAACATGCAGAGAATTATCACTAAATAATGTGTTGTTCAACAAAACTGTGTCAAATATATTATGAATTGATGTTCCTGGTACCTGCTTGCAAACATTGTCCCCATCCTGCAGCATCTACGTGCCAATAACGAGAGCTTAAAACCGTTGGATTGCATTTTGTACATTTGAGTGTGTTTTGTTGCAAGAAATTTGACACACTTGTATTAATCAAGTCCACACTCTGCTCTGACGGTGTCATCGGCAAAAGTATCTCAAAACTGTAAGTGAATGTACTTTCCACCACTGAACTTAAATAAAAGTTTGAATGCACAATCTTTACTTCTAATTAAATATTGTCACATTGTGGTATTCTTTTGGCCATTTGGCAATGACAAGCTGTAAACTCAACAACAAAATGCATCATGTGTTAGCAAAGAGTTGTCTATTTACACATCCAGCTGAGACAAAGGAACAATAGTATTTGTTGGAGTCATGTGTATGACAACTTGTCTGTTAAGTCCAATATTCATTCTCGTATTAGCTCTACTTTGGTCTCTCCACCAACTGCAACACAATACTTATTATTGGGCTATTTAGCTGCTAAAAGCTCCACTGTGTTCACTAGCTAGTTGCTAACTTTGTCTGTCTGCAGTTTGATGCTGAGCATGTATTACCTGCATAGCAATAATGTTCATGAGAGCGGTAAGAGTGAAGCAAAACAATTACTATAAAACCCAAAACTTGAGCTGAAAGAAAAAAAGGAGCCGAGGGGAACGGCAGAGCTGAATAATAAATCTCTGTGAGTTTGTCACTACAAGTGACCACTTTGATACTACACATAGTCATTTGATCCATTGTTTCTATAAAAATATTGACTGGAGCAGATTTAAGCAAAGGGACAAAACCCTTCCCCCACTACTCCTATCCTTCAATACCTCCAACTTGAGCTGAAGGAGGGAGACAGGTGAAGCCCAGAAACAAACAATACGTTGGAACACCAGAGCCAGAGAAACTGCCAAGCTCAATGTGTCACTCTGGGATGTAATGTAGAGATACAGTAGAACAGGGCGACTAGACAACAGGAGGGGAGAGGATTAGAAAAGCCACCTTTACTCTGATGCACTGTCTAGCTGTTTGTGTGTCATTTATAAAGGTTACCTTCTGCTCCTCTGTCTGTCACATACAGTACACACATCCGCGTGTACAGGCATACAATTTCACCAGGAGATAAAATAGATTTTTTAAACAAATATAGACAGTGAAGCAATATGAATGACATCTGAAGCTTTGATTTAGTTTTAACATCCAGGCATAAGGAAACAACTGTGGTGTATAAAGCTGGGTCTCAGGTGACTTTCAGCGTTGTGTGTGTGCAT